CTCCTTTCTACAAAACTTACCCATTGCTTAAATTTCTGTAGCACCTCTATTTTACACTTTAGTAAATAGCAGAACCCAAATCTGCTGTAGTCATCTACAGTGACCAGTGCATACTTTGCTCCTCCCAAACTGACTTGCCTTGGCCCCACCAAATCTGCATGTACCAGCTCTAGAGCTCTTGTCTGCCTTGTGCTGTTCTTGCTTACTGGGAATGCCTTACACAGTCCAAGTATGCCTTACACCATTTTAAATTGATACCATCTGCAGTTGCATTTTTTGCAAAACTTGGAAGCTGGCATGGCCAAGCTTCCTATGCAAGAGATGAATACATGAATCATGTTGTGCCACATTTCTAAATGTTTGGGCACATTGAACCTTTTGTCCCTGCGATACATAAAGATTATCCTGTTTTATGCCCTGTGCACATTCATTTCCATTTCTCTTTATGAGACACTTCCCATTGACAAATGTGATCTCAAACCCTTTTTGGCCTAGACCAGAGACACTCAGTAAATTATGCTCCATTTCAGGCACACATGTTATTAAACTTTTCCTTCAGACATGGAATCTCCACACTGCCTTTTGCTGTGACTTTAGCCTTCTGGCCATTTGCCAAGGCCACTACATCACCTCCAGATGGATCCATTCTGAAAAATAATTTAGAATAATTAACAATTGTTTGACTATTAACCATTTGTTTCTGCTATTACAATAGCTACCTTTTGCAACAGCAGCTTGTCTATTTGTTGTCTTTCTTCCTTGCAAAGTCTTTCTTCAAATGATTCTTATCACCACAAATGAAACACCGCCACTCTGTTTTGCTAGAAAATCTTTGCTGGGATGTAATCTGGTCTCTTTCTTCTGGTCTCTGCAGAAAGCCTGTCTGTTGCTTTGGAATGCGCAGACCAGAGGTGGTATTCAGAAGGTTCTGACCAGTTCTGGAGAACTGGTAGTGGAAATTTTGAGTAGTTCGGAGAACCGGCAAATACCAACTCTGACTAGAGATTTTACAGTATCCTTCCCTTGCCATGCCCACCAAGCCATGCCCACAGAACCGGTAGTAAAAAATTTTGAATCCCACCACTGGTGCAGACATTTTATCTGTTGCTTTTTTTTCTTTCTGCTCCTTGGGATCCCACCTCAGGAATTTCTCCTTGTGGCTTTTTCTAAAATGGCGCTTGTTTTCTTCTGAAATCAAACAGGTCTTTAGAGCTTCCATTCGTAAGTCTTGTTCTGGTTTGCACTCAAAAACTGCTGAAACAATGTCCCACATTTCATCAAGACTGTTTAACACCAACAGCACGCTCTGAGATTCAGGAATCTTCATTCCATGCTGTTCCAACTCAATAAATAAAGTTTGCACTTGCACCAATTGCTGCTCCACACTTGCTTGTGGCTGCAGCTGGGCTCTGTACAATTGTCTTGATAATTGCACAATATTGCATGCTGATGCGCTCACATGCACACTTCTCAATTTCAGCCAAACCTCATTTGCAGTCTTTAAATCAGTTACATTCAAAAGTTGTTCATCTTCTAAAGTTAAGATGATGCCTTATCATGCTGCCTTTGATCTGTAGCTGCTAATGGTGCCTGGGGTGGATTAATAACAATATCCCAGAGCTCCTTAGCCTTTAGGAAGCATTCAAATTTTGCATCCCAAACAATTCTTCTATCCCATTCGAGGCAGAGAGCTCACCTTAAACTGAACAGCCATCCTGCAAGCTTTCTCAGCCTTGTTCTCTTTTCCTTTTAACACAGGCTGTCCTTCAGCTTTATTACAGTTCTGTCTTACTGTGTGCTCTGGGACCATAACCTGTTAAGAGTTTGTAGCAATCCAACCAGAATACAAGTAAATAATTCAGGATTCATTTATAGAAGAAACTTGTTTATATACAATAATATAAAGTATGATGCATGAACCAGAACTAGAATCCAGAACTCATAATCACAGAAGCAATATACTACAGAGGCACATGTGTGTGTGTGTGTGTGTGTAGTATATGCAGTACACTACACACACACACAGATCAGTGAACCTAAGCCACGCCCAGGCTCCGAGCCATCTGGGTCACCAAACAGTCCCCATTGGCTGACCTGTTACCATGTCTATTCCAATTTATGAATCTTATACACTGACAGTTGCTTGGCCTGCCTGCCTTTCCTGGCTCTCCAGCCACTCTCCTTGGGTGAGGTACCTGCAGCTGACTCAATCCAGGAGGGAAGAGTTGAAGAACTGGCCAGAGCCTTTATCCCCACAGCCCAGCTTGGAGACTGCTGGCCAATGAGCAGCTGAGAGGCCAACAAGCTGAGGAAGCAACCAGCCAGGTTGGGGTGGGCAGCGGCTGGTCCTTCGCTGTCTCCACGGCAGCCACGTGGCCAGACCTGACCACTGGGCCATGAGTTTGACACCCCTGCAAGCTCATCGCAAAGTTGTTGATAAGAAGTTACCAAAGTTAAGTGATATTACAGTCGAGAAAGACTGGGAAAGTGGTCTAAAGGGAGGTTTTTCTAGGAAGTCACAGCTGTTTAAACATTTATCATGAGGGAGTTTACTATTCTTAATACTCTTTTTAGATATTTATTCTGAATCATAGCTTATTATAAACCACAACAATGCTAAGGTGCAATAAAAGCTTTTATTGTGCAATCTGAATAATTAGACAAAACTTGCATATATTCCTTTACTAAGATTATACAATTAAAAAGATTTAAATCATTATTTTAAAAAGTATGATTTTAGCTGCTACTTCTATTGCAGGTGCTCCTTCATTAAAACAGTGAATTTGTCTTAAGTTTCTATGTATCAACATACAAGTCCTGCAGGATGAGACCAAAGGCCTATGTCACCCAGTATCTCTTCACATAATGAGAAACCAGAGAAATATCTTTAGAAAATTGCCAAGGAGGACATGAGTGCAATAGCACCATCATAGCAGATCCCTTTGTTCCCTACTGAGAGGCACAGTAAAATACTGGAGGCAATAGTCACAATAATTATTATTCTAAAAAAATAAGTACATTATACATTTTCTAGGGAAGTACACAATTATCTTTTCAAAACAGGGTTGAGGTTCAGGATTACATGTCTGAAAATACAGATACTTCAATAGATGGTCTGAAGAAATTTACCAGGAGTCATTAATTTATGACAGCCATTTGTTCAGCTGCTCAAAATTACAACACATGCAGTCACATGATCAAAACTTGGGAGCTGATCTGCATTTATAACAGGGATACATCAATCCCCCCACCTGCCTAGTCCCTCCCCCACTGCTCCTTTGGCTGCCCTAATCCCTGCTTTGCAGGGTAGCAAGCAGCCCCTGAAGTGCAGTATAATGCGAAGCCTCAGCTGTCCCAGCTAGTCAAAGCAGCTGGGAAGCCAAACATTTATTCACCTAGTTGCCTTCTCTTTCTGCAATGACCTTTCATTTTTTGCATCCAACCATCTTGGTTGAAGCAGAAATGCTTTGTTGCCTTTGCTGTTTTCTTTTCAGAAGTACTATCCCACACAACTTAACTTCTATGGAGAACATTTCCTACACATGGCTCCTTGAATCTTTGGAAAGCTGAGCTGCCTTCAGAAAGCTTTTGAGGTCTGCTAAAACATTGGGAATATGGCGTGCTATTTGAAGAACAGCAGGCATTCTCAGAATACTTTGCAAGATGTCAGAAGCTTTCTGAAGGATTAGGAAACCATATGTAGGAAGCATTTGCTACAGAAACTGAGGTAGCCCTCAGCACTTTCACATTGGCCAAAATCACTTCTGACCTTCCCCATTGGGTAGCATTCTTATTTATGGTATGCCATTGAGCCAGCCTGGGAAGCCATTTGTAGGGAGTGTTCACTTTTTCCGGGAGCTTTTTTGCAAAAGGGTATTTTGACACACCACATGGCTCAGGGCTCAGTGAGGTTTTTTTGTATGTGGAGTCAGGGTGGGCAAGCCTTGTCAGCAAAAGAGCTCAGGTCAGCTGAGGCAGTACAGCTCAGGGTGACATGGGTCTAGAGTGCAGGGTGATGAAGGCAACTGTAACTGGGTAGTTCTGGCTTCCCAGGGCATGGCAAGCAGTCCCAGAGCTATGCAGATCTGGGCTGCTTGCCACCCCACAAAGCAGATACAGGGCAACTAAAGGGAAGACATAGGTGAGTGAGGGGAGTTGAAGAAACCAAGTCCAGAATGGCTCAGATTCCAGTGGGCATTTGCTTAACAACCCATTATTTTCAGTTAATGATAGCAATTGGGAGGGCTGGGGTTCCTGTCATTATTTAGTATGATCCTATGATGTCTTACTTTATGATACATTGATTAACAATGGAAATACTGGTCCCAATTGTGGTCATAAATCAAGGACCACCTGTAAATTGTAGCCTCAACTTGCTTATCTTATCTATATAATTTACATATAGACCTTGGAAGTCTTCTGGTCCAACCCCCTGCTCAAGCAGGAGACCTTATACTATTCTGGATAAATAGCTGTCTAATCTCTTTTTAAAAACTTTCAGTGATACAGCACCCACATGTTCTGGAGGCAAGCCATTCCAGTGATTAATTGTTCTGACAGGAAATCTCTCCTTAGTTCTAGGCTGATATACTTTGTTTGTAGGTTAGGAATAAAATACAGTATATTGTTCCAATCACAATTGGCTAGGAGTTGTGCAGAATTTCCCTTTCATAAATTGGGATAAAAGCAAAAAAATAGACAATAAACAGCCATACAGTGTAATGAATATAATAATATAAAACCCAGGAATAAAACACAATCAGCAAAATAATTTCAAATTGCTTGAGGAAACAATTGTTCAAACCTCTGGGCCTACTTAAATTGTAGACATCCTAAATGCCAAAAAGAGAATTAAAAGCTTAGAAAGTGCTGTTCCATAGGAGGATGGCAGCAATAAAGAAGTCATGTTTTTGTGGCTTCTCAAGATGATATTCCCTGAGCAAAAGGATATGAAGAGAACCTCACCTACTTGATCTTCTCACCTACTCTTGTAGGTGACAACTTGCAGCTTTAATTATACCTAGAAGCCAATTGATAACTAATGGAAGTAGTTACAAAGGGACAATGAGAAACGCTTGTTGTGTTGCCTCATCAGTTTTCAAAATTTCTCCATGAACAGTTGAGAGGTGATTAAGACCTAAATATTTCATGTAAAACTTTTCATTCTAGAAGGAGTTGTAACTGTTGCACTTACTTGCTGCCCACTCCTTGAGTAGGAACTATAAAATTGTGGGTAATCCCTTGCAGAGCAATGCTGGGTGCAGGATTAAAATCAGAACATTTCTGAAATTGGGAATGAGAGACTTACAAACCAAGATCAATTTACCTCACTGGAATTAAGCCTCAGCCCGGTCATCCTCATCCACAACTAATTAGGCTTCAAACATCTAGACAACATTTCAACAGGATCTCCTGTTTGACCCAAGGTAAATCAAGTATCATCATCAAACGGATATTTTATGCCATGAGAACAGATGGCCTGTTTTCGGGGCTGATTAGAGTTGAGGGGGAGATGAATAGATGGCTCAGAACACTCTTTGTTTTCAGGTGATTTTAGTTTCTGTATAAGAATTGGCTCCTCGCCCTTTCAACAAAGGCTATGTGCTTTATAGTAATGATTCAAGAAGTACAATTTCTCCGATAAACTAGCAGCATTAGAAAAAAACTTCATTTACTGAATTTCTGCCTGGCTTTAAGAACATAATACATAGCAAAAATTCTTCACAATTTTGCTGAAGATATATTCTTCAAGCAACCAATGTCCTATTTGACATTTAGTGGTATTAATATTTCAGTAGTTGATTCTTTTACAGTGTATTTAGTGTCTGATCCCACTGAAAATTAAAATGCAGTACATCAAGATGTGTTTCTAGTACCCTTCTTTCTGTCAGTACTTCCCATTTTAGTGAAACTATCAAGAAACCTCTACTAATAGCTGATGATTTAGATTTATCTTGAAACTTGAAGCTCAGTTTACCCAAAGCCATTTCTATCTTCAGCATGATGCATCATAAATATAGAGTGGACAACTTTTGTAGAGCTGATTACAAAAACAGTCAACGTTCTTTTGTGGCTAAACCACATTAAGATGGCTAGAGTAGTAATTAGGAAACAGTATTTCATGGAAGCTACAAATAAGAAGAAAGATGTTTCCAAAGAGTCAACTGAAAGTTAGTTGCTATAAACCACCATCCAATAGTGAATAAATTACTGTGTATAGCACTGGTGAAATAATATACAATCAAAATGAATATTTGACAATAACTGACAGTTGAAATAGATTTCATACTTGAAACCTACTGAAATCAAGAAATGCAATAGAAATCTCAAATTTTAAAACGTTCACTTTGGATGATCACACAGGAAATTTACTGACTTTTAGATATCCATGCATATTTGTTTCAATTTGATAAAAATCCCTGTGAGAGTAATAACAGAAGTAAACATGCAAAAATAGCTGGATTCCAAGCTGACTCCAATATTAAAAATAATAATATGAGTACTTATGTTGCTTTTCACATTTGGATATGTTCCTATATGAGATTGATACCATTTAACTGACATGTTCAAGGAGTACAATTAGATAGATATTCAAGCCATTAAGTTATAGGTGCATATAGAAAAATGCATTGGAAAGATTCATTGACAATCTCTCTCCCCCCACTATTTCAATTTTGCAGAAAGTTAATACTGAGCAGGAACGACATCTCCCAGGTTAACAGGTAGCCAAGAACAGATTAATTTCAGTATAGTGTGCTCAGTGCTCAACTCTTTTCTTTGGTTTCAAATGCCCACTATTGAGTGATATGCCTACATAGTAAGTGACACAAATATGAAGGGCTGAAGGATTATATGATGGACTGGAATAAAGGCATTACTAGCAAAGATTGTTCTTCCTGCCACACAGATGGGTGGAAGGCAAAGGGAGGTACTCAAGCATCATATTGCTTTATAAGAGTTTCTCCATCTTGGATCAGGTCTAGGCTTTTTTGTTATGCTTTTTGAGAAAGGCAAACAAGGTCCCAGGGCACCTGAATGGACAGAACTCCAGCTAGATTTTTGGATGGAATTTAATCACATGTATAGAATTCAAACCCAGCCCAAACTGTTGATCTAAGTTAGGAAAGGCCCATATGGAGTTCCTTCCTGCTTCTGAGGGATGTGTCTATACAGAGATTTTGTTGTTGTTTTTCACCCTCAGCAATTAAAATATTTATAAATGAAGCAATTTTTTACATAGCAGGAACCCCAAACCTCTCCATTCAGGGCAATCAGAACAATGCCTTAAGAAATATATTCATAAGTTTCTCCAGGGAAACTGAAAGAGAACACAATATAATTTTTGGACCAGAGTGTATTCTCCTCCTCTCACCTCTCTCCAAAAATAATGCTTTGATTCTGAATTGCACTTTGAGTTAACGACTCTTATGAAATTTTGAAACAAGAAACATCTGTTAGTGATCATAATCCAGCATAGAGAGTCTCATATGAAGTACTACTACATTTTTGTTCTGCTCATGCAAAGCAATTTCATTTTCATCATTTTCATCCTATGGATATTAAAAATGCATTTGAAGAATATATCAAGAATGTCCTAATTTGGTTGCAGTTTCACCACAAAAAAATTCTCACATTCAGGTTACGCAGATTATCTTTGTTGAAGCTGTCTACACAAGAAACTAAACCAGAAATAGCATGTGGAATGCATTCCTATGGCTAGCTGAATGCAAGAAATCTGTTAAAAAAGAGACCCACTTTTTCCTCAAGATGCTTCCTGCTATCACTTCCTGAGAATAGAAAGCTGCTTTCAGGGAATGTAGAGTCAATTCCAACACCTGTCTCAAGAAGTTTTCATAAAGAAACTGCTATGTTGACCAGTTTGGCTATAAAGTGAGGCACTGTTGCAAATAAAAGACAGTTTTACTCAAAAGACAACAAGTCTGGACTATGACTTTCACTTTCAAAGGTTGGTATCTTTGCTTCTGAAGGTGTCTTACAGCTTTGGTGTTCAGGAATGTTTTTACCAGCACTTAAATCAAGTCTAAGAGTCACATTTTCTGGGAGAGCGGAAGAAGATATACCGTGAATTGCACTTTGTTTGGGCTCCATATTCTCCTTATGAATGAGATCAGGCACATCAAATACCCTTTTGCTGGTTCCAATTTCTCTCTGGGTCATTGAATTAATTTCTTTAAAATCTGCCTCTGTATTAGTGGGTAGCCACTGAAGTTCCTGGAATTCCTTAGGAAGTAAGGTTTCTGTAGTCTTCATCTGTGGTTCAGAAGCAATCAGCAGGTCTTGAGTGGTTTTCAGAGCTCTTGGAGTACGCTTTTTGGTACTCAATGGGGGTGGATTAAGCCGTGGAATTACATTTGTTGGTGTCTGCCTAAAAGTTCAGGAAAGATTAAGATTATTACATTAAAACTTTCACTTAAGTAAAAACGTCTCCTTTCCACCCAGTATTTATTCTCAACTGTCTCCCAAACAAGGGTAATTGTTAGTCCTAAATATCAGAACTCAAATTCACATGGAGTTATTGGCAAAATTAGGTTTTTAAGTTGGGTGGCTAAGAACAAAAATATTTTTCAATTTGAAAAATACCTGTCAGTGAGCCTATCCTAGACCCAGGTCCGAGTTGTTGGATTATGTGAACAAATATGGGCTCCTCCATCATCTGCTATATCACGAGAGGATGCATATAATGTGATGATCAGCCACTAAAGATCAGTCACCAAAGTTCATGATTGTCAACTATATGCCCCTCTTAGGTTTAGAATACTTAACATCCCTGGCTGAAAGAACAGCCCATTGGAATTGACTTGCAAATTGTCCTATTTCCTTCTGGGCTCTAACCTATATACTGTGAGCAGAACTGCTAAGTTTATAGTTAAGGAAGTTGATCTAAGAACCCAATATATCAACCAAATTAAGATATCCTATACAGATGATGTATTTCTCTGAATACCGATTCTTTATACTTATGTAGATATAATGTAAAGTATATTATATAAACATAAAACATGTATGTATTTTATTACTGTATTTTCTTTTATCTATTTTACCCTGGAATTAGATTCTGCATTTTATTTCTCTTTTATATTTTTGTCATAAGACTAATCAATTAATAAAGTATCTACCCTTGTTTTGCAATTAATAAACTAATAACTATTCTTTTGTAATTAATCTCAGGTTACAGGTTTGATTATCAACAGCTTTTTCACTAAGAAACAACTTTTAAACTTATTAAAAGCTCTTTTTGGCAAAGAAACAGTCAATATTTTGACAACTGGAATATTTTACCTTCAGGAAGTAGAGAAGATATTTAGAGAAGACATCTTCTTTTTTATGTCTCTAGAGAAAGCATCTTCCAAAAGTCCCAAACAGTAGTCCTAGTGCTCATTTACTTAAAAAAACTTAGCAACATCCCCCTTTCCAAATTTCTTCCATCAAAACCCAATTGTGATTTCCATCAGGTCTCATTCTAAGCCACCACCATCGAAGTAATTTATGTTTGATTGCATCCTTGCTGGGCTGCCTGATATCCTGAAGCTTCAACTGTATGCACCTTCTGCTTGTGCACATACATCTTTTTCCTCTTCTGACCATGGCTTGCCTCACCTATCTGTACATACTCTTCCAAGGAATACATGCACTAAAACCAAAATGAATGCCTTTTTTTGCTCTTTCAATTTCACACACCACCTCCCCAGAATAATTAAATAAATGAAGATGTTTAGGAGTAGGGGAAATATAATATACATACTGGACAATGTATGTACCATCTACATACTACATACTCAGCAATGGCTAAGGCAGGACAGAATTTCTATTTATTTATTGATGAAATAGTCTGAATCAGAGCCCCAGTCTCCTCATTGCAAGTAGCTGTTGCAAAGGAAAACGAAGCAGAGAAATTTAGGTTCAAAGATACGCTCTTGAATATTTCATCAGTCAAAATTCCCCCTCTGCTTTGCATTTGTTATAATAGAGTTACTTGCCTTTCAAAGACCTCTTGCTTGGCCTATAGCAATATCTCTTTTAATTTTTAACATCTAGGAGTGAAAGGTGAATAGAATCATTTAACTGAATCTTCTCTTCTAGTTCCTTCCTTAGCAAAGAGAAGATTGGGGTTAGATTGGTTAGTGGCAGAGAACCAGGAAGAAATGGTTGTGGGTTTTTTTGTTTAAAAAAATTGCCCTTGCTGATATAACCCAGATCTGGGAAAGATGAAGAACTAACCCTAACAAACCTTATTGAGCCACTTACCTATTTGCCTGGTCCTGACCTCCCAGCAATGTGCCTTGTCCACAAGAGAGGGCTGCCTCTGCACACTCATTGACTTCTGTTACCCCAAAGATGCTGTGGTTGGTGGGCTCTTTCCTGCGCAGGAAATCACTGACTTTTGCACCAACAGTCATACTGAGGTTTTTTAAATGTTGACTGCCAGTTTTCCATTCTGGCTGCACTCGCAGATTTATACCAGTGGAGGACCGGAAGGCAGATTTGACAATGGGCAATTTTGCTGCCAGGGTAGTGTTTGAATTCTCAAACACACTTTGGTCAACTAAAAAAGAAAGAGAACACCTCTGTGAATAGGAGATGTGCCAGGCAGAGATATTATCCAAGGAAACAATGGAAACAATAATGGAAGCAGCAGTGGAATTCAGGTTGGTACCTATTGCAAAAAGGTGGAAAAATTTCAACTTCCTTTTTTCCCCTTGTTGATCTACTGTGCTAAATTAAAAGCAACTTTAATATTTACAAATGAAAGCTGGACCACGCAATATTTTTCCCCTAGATCCTCTCCTAGTTCTTGATTTATTTCTTGCTATTTGGAAAACCCAACTTTAGTGAATATTTTTAAATATTTTTAATCCATCACAACGCGGATACCATTTATCTTAAGACAAAAGAGGAAAAACACTCTGAGTGAGAATCTGGTGGAGGCAAAGAGAGATCTGTATTTCATAGATCTGGTCCTCTGTAGCAATTCAATTCACTCATCTGTCTTTCTTTCATTTTGATTTAGGAATTTTCTGCCATGTAGAAATAAGTCAGCAAATTAACAGAAGTAACAAACTAATTGATCACCATTAATGGTCATATTTTATTTACAATCAATACATCTTCAGGGATAGCTTTGAGGCAGTAAAGGAATTCAAGATTTGTCTGTCAAATAATCTGTAGAGAAATTGACTGTATTTGAGGGAATAAAGACCCCCCCCCACTTTTTTTTTGCAATGGTACACTGAAACACTATTCTTTGTACTGACTGAAAAGCCCAAAATGGAAAATTCAAGATAGAAACACCTGTGTTTTGATTCTTAAGAAATAGAAATTAAGAGAAGCAAAAATTTTCATTCATATTTCTGGAACATTTACGATGGTTGCAGTGTCCCATAGTCACAGGTTTACCATTTGTGATTTTCACAGCCAGCAAAGTCACTGGAGAAGAGAACAAGAAGTTGCAGGTGGTGGTCTCATGACATTGCACTTAACAACTGCAGATGATTTACTAATGATTTCTCTCACACAAAATATCTGCTGCTTATTCCTCTGGGATTCCAGCCTACTACATTCTATTGCCTCTTATTCAACACATTTCTTCTTGTAAAATTAAGTTAGGATAATAGGTCTCCTTGATTATTTCTCGTGTATGTGTGTGCGTTAAGTAGATAATTTTTATTATTTCTTTTACATTCTAAATGATAAAGTTTCAATGACAATTTGAAGCATTGTTTGATCATCTATTTTTTGTAGAATTACAGTTTCAACAGATCTCAGAATATTTGGAATCACTTATTATTAAAGCTCACTTATCTGCCCAAAGCAGGAGACTTTATTCCATCCTGGAAAATGGCTGCCGAATCTTTTCTTGAAAATTTCCAATTGGAGCATCCACAACTCTGGGAGATAAGCTGTTCCACTGATTAATCATCCTTATTGTCAGGAAGCTTCTCCTAGCTTCCAGGTTGGATTTCTGTTTAACAAGCTTCCACCCAACAAACTTTTTGTCCTGCCTGCAGAGGCTTTGAAGAATAAGTCAACCCCTCATCTCTGTAATTGTTCAAGTACTCGAACATAGTTATCATGTCACCCCTAATTAATCTTTTTGTCAGGCTAGACATGCCTAGTTCTTTAAGCGTTCAAATCATATTTTCCACTATAGTTTTATGGACAGCTTCCCTAATTACCGTATTTTTCGGAGTATAAGACGCACTTTTTCCACCCCCCAAAATGGGTAGAAATGTCTTTGCATCTTATACAGCAACCGTTGCCAAAGCCCTGCCCACCCACTGGCCCCCACTCTTTGGCCTCTGCCTACCAGCAATTTGCCTCCTTAAAGCAAACAGCAAACAGCCTGTTTCAGCTTCAGCACAGCCTGATTAGCACAAGCAGCTGATTGTAGGTAGGATTGGCCTCCTCACAATCAGTTGTTTCAGGCTGTAGGGATTGCCATTGCCTATAGCTGCTTCGGTGAACCCCATTTTCAGCCTCCACAGCCCATTTGTGGCCTCCGCATGCCCCATTTTCCTCCTGAAAATGGATCAGGAGGCCGATCCTACTGACAATCAGCTGCTTGTGCTAATCAGGCTGTGCTGAAGCTGACCAGGGTGTTTGCTGTTTGCTTCAAGGAGGCAAATTGCTGGGAGGCAGAGGCAGATTTTTTTTCTTGTTTTCCTCCCCAAAAGCTAGGTGTGTCTTATACTTCGGAGCATGTTATACTCTGAAAAATATGGTTAGTTGCCCTCTAGCAACATTGCAGAGAACCATCCATTTGGATTATTTGCCATATTTCTAAAAACAAACCATAGTGTTTTATAACAAAAGCTGAATCTGATGGCCCAGTTATCAAAAGGTCACCTTGAGATAAAACTCCTTTTCCTGCAAAAGCTGAGCCAGATCACTGGTAGCTTGCAACGCAGGCCCTACGTTGGCCCTACGTTGGGATTGGAGGAATGCCCAAATTGCAAAGAATAAATACAATTGCAAGCTCAGAAATGGGCTGAAAGTATATTTCAGGAACCTAAACAAAAAGATAAAGCTCAGACCAGAGACAATATTCCCACAAATATTTCTCTGGGTCAATAAATGGTTGCATTTATACAGCATGGTATCCTTGTTTTATTTTATTTTGTAACTTATAGTGTTTCATTAGCTTAGCTTATGTGGTTAGTTTAAGGCTTAATATAGTGTGTGAACATAGCCAGTGCTTGAAAATAAGAAAATCTGAAGGAGAGAAAAAGCTAATGTCAATAGAATAATTATGACTATATATTTAATTTTTCCTTTTAAAAGATCATAATGTCTATGTCAGTGATGGCTAACCTTTTCATCGTCGCGTGCCGAAAGAGTGTGCATGCGTGTGCGCACCTGCACCCATATTGCAATGTATGCATGACCCACCCCCGCAATCCCCACCCCCTGCACATGCACATGTCTCCTGCATTCACCCCACACCCGCACATGTGCAGCAGATACCCGACAATCAGCTGGCTGGCAGGAGGCGGGCATGGAAGCACAGTGGAACTGACCTGGGGTGATGGCTTGTATGCTGGTAGAGATGGCTCTATGTGCCACTTCTGGCATGCGTGCCATAGGTTTGCCATCACAGGTCTATATGAGGACCAAATTTACAAATCCCTCAACATATCCAGTTAAAGCTGTCTCATTTTTCTTCTTTACACTCATTCATTTTCAGGAAACAACCCACAAGCTCTGATCCTCCTCCCACAGCCCAGCAGACTGATTCAGAAGTCAAAATTCTAGTTTCAGCAGAGAAACGTTGCATTCAACAACTAGAAGAGACTGCATAGCACATTTTCTAGCACATAGCACAGGACACAAGAGATGGATGTCTGAAGGGAAGCAAAGGTGCATTTGTTACATTTTTAGGCTAGCAATTTCTTTGATTTCTTCTCCATTTTGCATAAATTTTGAAAGGAATTACTACGTAAGGGATGCGAGAGGAAAGAGTTAAACAACACATTACATTTCTTGCTGTTTTTAAGAGTGGAAATGCAAAACATAGTGACCTTATGTACCACATTAGTATTGCCTAGCATTTTAAAAAGTTTAATAATTTAAATGTTTCAATTAAGATTAAACACCCTATGCAAATGTACCTAACTTTACTGCCAACTATACATTTTGAATCTTTGCAAAAGATTAAAAATATTCTAAAAGGCCCATGTTAGGTGGCAAACCTATTGGTGGTGAACATATTTTGCAGGAAAATAGAAACTAAAAACATGCAGACAGTGTATGTTTAATGATGCATTTGAAAAAGATTTTATACCTCTACTTCAGGACTTAATCCAATCAAGACATTTAAAAATCATGAGTATACTTGTCCACTTTATTACATGTTTGCTGTAGAAGCACCAATTCAAAATAACTATGTTCAGTTTGGAGCATTCTGTATTCTGTTCAGCTTGCCTATTACTGAGAGTTGATCCTGTAAATTTTTTTGAAACTGTTATGGAAGAAGGCTTTTGTAAAAAATCTATAGGCTTAGATTTTTCAGCATTTAAACCTGTATTAAAAGTAATTCCATGCATGATCAAAGAAGATTGTTTAAATACATTGTTAAGATAGAAGGTTATGGATAACCCCAGTATTTGAATAAATTAACATTGTCTAATTTCCATATATCTTCAGATTCTAAACTGCAAATATTTAGTAAGAATTGTATAATATTCCTATTCTGAAATGATTGCTTGGAAATATGAAGCATAACCTGTGCTCATTGAAAAGTAGCATATAGTAAGTAATAGCTCTTAGAAGATTTTTTGGTGATTTTGCTTGATCCTTATTTCTCATCCTTTTAACAGCACTTTGTATGTTTAACTTCTTCCTAGGAACTATGAAAGGACAATTTGCTTTGAAAACATGGGAGTTCATTGCAGTTTATAACAATATATATCAATAATAATGCAAGTAAATTTTCAGAGTAATTTTCTTCCTGTGCTATTTCTCTTTTATAATGCAAGAAAAAAACCTCAAGATGTAAAAGAATGGAGCAAATGATTAATTAAAAATGATTTCTTAGAAAAAGTAAAAGAAAGCATTATTCTTTTCCTGCATGTTTGATATTTTTTATGAGCAGAAAAGGATTCAATTCCTGATTGATTGTGTGCCTAAGCACAGAAACCTCTTTCCATTATACAGGAATAATTGCTAGGTAGCCACCAAGAGCTTTAGAAGCTTCCTAAGCTCATTCTGAAGAGATCTTGTGTCCAGGGGTGGGATTCTACCGGTTCGCACCAGTTCAGTAAAACCAGTTGTTATGGTTCCCGGTAGTTTGGAGAACCAGTAAATGAGGCCTCTGGCTGGCCCCGCCCCTCTCCACCTGTTTCTCTGCTCCCTGTGCAGTGGTGCAGCGGTGCAGCCCCATCCCGTTATCAGCGCTGGCTGGGACCTACCAACCTGTTCCCCCATCCCCGGGCTCAGCTGGCTGGCTAAGCCACCACATGGCGCTTTCCCAGCTCTCCCTACCACATGGCAGCTTCTCGTAAGAAGCACCATCGCCCCAGCACCTCTACCGCTTCTACCGGGAGCAAA